TGTTTACATTTATATTATAGGTATATGATATTGATTACTTATGTTTTATTTTAGGTCTGTTTACATTTATATTATAGGTATGATATTGATTACTTATGTTTATTTTAGGTCTGTTTACATTTATATTTATTTTATTTTCGGTCTGTTTACATTTATATTATAGGTATATGATATTGATTATTTATTTATTTTAGGTCTGTTTACATTTATATTATAGGTATATGATATTGATTACTTATTTATTTTCGGTCTGTTTACATTTATATTATAGGTATATGATATTGATTACTTATTCTGTTTACATTTATATTAAAGGTATATGATATTGATTATTATGTTTATTTTAGGTCTGTTTATTTATATTATAGGTATATGATATTGATTATTATTTATTTTCTCTGTTTACATTTATATTATAGGTATATGATATTGATTACTTATGTTTATTTTTAGGTCTGTTTACATTTATATTATAGGTATATGATATTGATTACTTATGTTTATTTTCGGTTTTTATTTTATATTATAGGTATATGATATTGTTTTATTTATTTTTATTTATAGGTATATATATATTGATTACTTATGTTTATTTTCGGTCTCGTTTAGGTTATTTTCTATATTTATTTTCGGTCTGTTTACATTTATATTATATATGATATTGTTATATGATCTGTTTACATTTATATTATGGATTACTTATGTTTATTTTAGGTCTGTTTACATTTATATTATAGGTATATGATATTGATTACTTATGTTTTATTTTATTGTCTGTTTACATTTTATATTATAGGTATATGATATTGATTACTTATGGGTCTGTTTTACATTTATATTATAGGTATATGATATTGATTATTTATGTTTATTTTCGGTCTGTTTACATTTATATTATAGGTATATGATATTGATTACTTATTTTATTTTCGTTCTGTTTACATTTATATTATAGGTATATGATATTGATTACTTATGTTTATTTTAGGTCTGTTTACATTTATACTATAGGTATATGATATTGATTACTTATGTTTATTTTAGGTCTGTTTACATTTTATATTATAGGTATTTATTGATTACTTATGTTTATTTTCGGTCTGTTTACATTTATATTATAGGTATATGATATTGATTACTTATGTTTATTTTCGGTCTGTTTACATTTATATTATAGGTATATGATATTGATTACTTATGTTTATTTTTTACGTTTGAGTTTAGAATTTTTTTTGTGTGAATAAAAACTCCCCGATGAAGTATTATAAACGAACAGTATGAATTTTATTTTAGCAAAAACAGTGGAAAATGTGACACAGAAATCCTACGATACATGTTTGTAATTAAGACATCTGTTCTGATCGAGCTTTTAAAATATCTTTTTGTTTGTGCTAATAACCTTTGCACAGACGAAACTGCTTGAATAGTTCTCAGTGAATTGCTGTTTTTAGCCACATATTCATTTTGTTTGTATTGTCTCTGGATCACTTTGCTGTATTTCCTCGTGATATATGTTACTGTTTTACTTTTGTCATCACATAGACATCATTTACTACTTTCTTGTCTCTTCTACTGCTTTTCCATTTGTTTTGAATTGCTTTTACGAATCATTGTGGCAATGATAATATTAGCGGTTTCCTTCTTAAAGAAACATTCGGCATTTAGTGACCGGGCATTAAGTGCTGCCGGTTGAAATTGTTAAAAATATTCTCTTAAAATTATTTTTCAGGAAAATAGGTTTCTCAAGTTCAGTATCTGTTAATTCTCTTACCAATATTGATAAGGGATTCCTTCCTTTTGGTTGAAGCAACATCACCATCTGGATTATATCATTATTCTTTCTTCAAGTTATATATGCTATCCATTTTAGTTATTGCTTCTGCTGAAAGTCCTCAAGTAATGTTTTTTTTCTGTTATTTAGTACAGTTCTTTGTTTCTGATTCTATAGTGCCAGTTCATAAGTTTCAAGGAAGGATATTCCTCGCTGAGGCCTACATGGTTCATTCGCTCAAAACCATTTTTAACAATCGACCTGACAAAGCGGTTGTATACAGTCGACAGTTTAGATATTTCTGAACAAGTTTGGCGCCATGCATTGAAATCCATATGAAAGTCTCGATCTGACGAGACTTTAAGAACGGGATTTGGGTTGTTCGGTTAATATTTTGTTTTTAGATTAATGTTTTTAGTTTTGGTTTTGTAGCAGCTTGCGGTGTAGGGTGGGGACTTCTCCAACCGCAACCTATTCTATGTTCAATTTCCTTTTCTCCTATACTGAATTTGTTGTAACTAATCCATACACTAAAGTATTTGAAGTGATTAGTATTTACTAATTCCACACCCTGAATTTTTATGATAGATTCCGAGTATGTGCCATAACTACTTTCATTCCAATTTCAGATCATTGTTTCTGTTTTGGAAAGGTTTGAGTCCTAATTCTTGGAATACTTGGCAGAGGATACTGATTTTTTTTGTTCAAAATCATTTTTGTCCCAACTATGAATGCCATTGTCATTAGCATAGCCTTTCCCTTCATCTGTACATTGGCGTCGGGAGGAAAAGCAGGGACGCTGTTTTCTATTTGTAGATTAATTGGGGATGCGATATGGAATGTTTAAGTGATCAGTTCTCATTTGTATATCCACAGAGCATAATTTAAGAAGAGATTAAATAGAGTGGGGTTCTCATTTTCTCCTTGTCATACTCCAGATGAAATTTGGAATTTTCCAGTATTGATTTCCATAGAATTAAGACAGCCTACTTAATACAATGTTCATCAGTACCGTTACCATGATGGATTCAATTGAGATACCTCTGTATGTCTGAAGGTCTTTGGGTTACCTTTTCGTTTCCATAGGTAATTAATGTGCGATACATCCCACTATTATGGGATGCGCATCTTATTTCAGATTTACTTAAATTTAGGAAGTCGATTCTAAATTTAGAGAGATGATAGACTATTTTAAAAAGTTCATACTCACTGACAAGTGACGCTTTATTATGTGTTAGCTTTTTTATAGCTTTATTTACTAACTCATCATCAGGTTCATTATTGTTTATGTTTGAAGTTAGATTTTGTAATGCTTGAATGTATATTGGTGTACATTCTAACTGCGCTAGCAACTTCAGCTTAGTTTGGTCAGTGTTGAAATGTGACTTGAAGTGTTTTTTCAGACCAAGTTTTTGTTTTCCATTGGAGGAGGTTATCATGATTTTTCTCTTTTCTCCACATTTCAACCCAATATCTATAGTGTTTTGCTTCATTAATTTGGTTTTCAATTTCTCGTAGATATTGATTTCTTAACTATTTTTTGAATTTTCTTTTTTAATCGTTTTTAGTATTCTCCCGTTCGTTTTCTTTCTCTTCTGTTTGTTTCTTTATATTATCAATCTTTTGACATCAGTATTGTCGTCCCATTTTTCTAGGAAGAGTTATGTGCTTCGAGGATAAAATAACTGAGTCTTCTATGTTGTCATGATCGAGATTTAGGGACCCTAATTTGGATTTTATTTTATTAAAGAATTCTAATTTTACCTCTTTGTCCATAGTTTAGCACTTGGATTTAAGCGCCGTTCGTGGTTTCATGCACCACTTTTAAGGAACTCTTTATGCAACAGAACAGAATTAGTGTCAATAGCCGTTCAGAATAAATATGCTGGAACCAAGCATGCCAAAGCAAAAATAGTTAGGGCTTCAAATTCCATGAATATTTCCAAGAGAGATAAATATCCTTAAACTATAAATTTGATGCGATATAGATCTGAATTTACGTCCAAAGATGCAGTAACTAAAATGGATAATAAATTTTCTCTTCAGACCAGTGTTATCAGATTTTTACGCAAAAAAAAACCCTCAGTATTTAATCCATTTCCATTAGGACTAACATGCTCATGTTGGTTGTTATACAAAGTTTCCACCGGGATACCTTCGTACTTAGGTGTCTGACGTACTCGATAACACTCTTGGAAATTTTAAACCGAAGCCTTTATTCAATTCACGGGCTTAAATTGTTCTCATTCTGCTTTTAATGCTGCGGGGAGATAACTGGTATCAATTCATTCTCTCTAGTTCATTTTCTCTAGTTCCTTCCGCTGAACCAGAGAATATGACTCTTTTCAAGACTGATGACTGCCCAAAAACCAGAGACGCTTTAACCAATGCTTTGATACACTAGTTTTTATTGAACAATCCAATGATGTACTTTGGGAACCTTAAACTTTATACTTAGTGACATTTTGACTGTTCTTTGTTGATCAGATGTCGGAGGAAATAACAGTCAAAATGTTGTCAGTATGACCACAAATATTAGCATATTGAACTAAAAAGTCATATAATAATAATAATAATAATAAATTGAACAATTCCGACACAGAACTCGAAAAACCAGAAAATATAGAATTCGAAAAACAAATACAAACAAAATACACTAGCATATCAGCTATAGAGCCCCAATGATATGGATGGGCTTTTAAAAAATATAGTTAAACAAAAAAGTATCTAAAAGTCTTTTACTTGTGAAAATTCACTTCTAATTATAATATATGTAAAGGAAAATAAAATAGAAACAGTCAGCATTTAAAAAATGTGTTAGAAGCCTCCAGTGATTCTTTCGTAATAATAATAATAATGAACAAAAAGAAAAACTCCAAGCATAAAAAAATCGAGAATACAAGAAAAAAGAGCAGGGTTGGGGTTGATTTTAGCACTGCCTTCTCGCAGTGCCATCTCTAATTGCAGTTACTGCCAGTAGGTCTGCTGAAGAATTCCATGAGTGATGTCTCGCTTGGAACAGTTCCAGACTTGAGCAAATTAACAACTTTCGTGCTTCCTTTGTTATATATATATATATATATATATATATATATATATATATATATATATATATGAATATATATATATATTCTTTTGAATATATGACAGGTAGATAAAGTGAGAACCAAAATTAAAGCCGCAATCCGTAGTCCATGATTCATAAAATCTCTTACATATGGGCATATATCTATATAGATAAACAGAAGCACACACGCGTGTAGATAGATAGATAGATAGATAGATAGATAGATAGATAGATAGATAGATAGATAAAAATGGTATTCATACTTACAGGAAATTTCAATGCTTTGTGATCTCTTGTGAAAGCACAAGGTAAAGAATCGTTTCAAAAGAGAAGTTGGAAACGATATGCCAACATATTTTCCATGTTTATGATGAATTCTTGAAATGAAATCAAATACAAAAGTAGACAGCTTTTTATACTTATTAAAAGCTATAACTTATAAACGTTTTTTATATAAATGTATGAATATATATATATATATATATATATATATATATATATATATATATATCCTACTATTTCAGACGTTATTTTGTGGATACCCATGTTTGAGTAGACGCCCTATTTTTATAAACATTGTAAATTACGTCAACCGTCCTGCGCAACTCAGAGACTTAATACAGAGTATGTGCTCTCCGGCATTTTTTTAGTAAGTCTCTCGAATGCGCAGGACGGTAGACACAATTTATACTGTTTATAAAAACAGGGCGTCTACTGAAAGATGAGCATCCACAAAATAACCTCTGAAGTAGTAGGAAATAATGTCGGATAAGAAATGAAATGATTCAGATTCACTAACCAAACATAAACATTTTAGAGAAAATCTCTTGTTTGTCGACACAATTTTTTTTTTATTTCCTCATCCCTCTATCGATGCCTGAACATATCTATGAAGAAGAAATGAAAATATGTACGACAGAGGCGCCGAAAAAATTTTCCCCCCCTCCAAAACATTCAAACATCAAAAACTTTTCGTTACCCCCGTCTCTTCATCGATGTCTGAACGTATCTATGAAGAAAACGAAAACATAAAACATGTAAAAGTTATTGGTTCGACTCATTTCTCAAATTCAGACCAAATTATTAAATATCGAAATTTCTTTTAGAATTCCGCTTTGTCGATCCAAGAACTGTTCAGCACCCAAATATGATGTTTAGTGAACAGATAAAACTTTTTATGTGTCTATAAAACTGTTTGCGGATGTACACATCATGTTTGTACAAACAGAATTTTTCTTTAACTCGCATCTGGATGCTTTTACTACCTGACATTATTGGTTTGTAGGAGTTGTTATTTGTAATGGAGAAGGTCATAATGAGAATACAGCAGGAGGAAAATATTGACAGAAGTGCATAGTTTACGCTGGAATATATAGTCAGTGGCAGTATGTCAACTAAGTAGCTCGAATTTGATAGATCTCCCTGAAAAGTGAGCAGTTTACTATTTTTACTCGTTCAACATGTTTTAAACGACATTTATCTATGTTGTGTAGGAAACCTACCACCCCTCTTGAAGAGGAACTTGTCTAAAAACAAAGACGTTAAATAGTGGCATGTCAGAAGACAGAGGGTCGGAGAAGTTCTTAGCTGAGCTAGTTATAGACTACTCAGGCGATTTCTGTACCGTCTTACCAACCTAATAAACCCCTTTTTATTGTTACGTGTTATTTTGCGTTTGTCTTTACTAACCTCAAATCAACATCATAACAATCTATATATTTATTTTCGTTTTAACACGCTGCATAAGTCGTAATTTATTTATTTTAATCGTAAAAACAATGCCATTTTTAATTATTTTATGGATGATTTTTTTAAAAAACAGTAATTGTTAGCTGGCGAAATGAAACTTGATGGGGGATACGGGGGGCGGATATAAAAAGAGGAAAACAACCGGAAAACATATAATTACCTTCCAAGTATCCGATGACAGAGTATCCCCCCAAAAAAAAAATCCCCCGTAAACAAGTTAAATAGAGCTCATACCATTGTGATTAGCTGTTGGTCAACTTCCAATCAAATGCGTGATAGCGGGTTATGGTTTGCCTAATATAAGTCAGTGTCTGAAGGCTGTTAATTTTAAAGGATGGATCAGAGAAAGATCAACTCTGTTGGGGTTGACTTGGTGAGGGCAGGATGATGTTTGAAAGACCCGAAACTGTCCAATGATCCAAATCAGAACAGCACTGACGACGCCCTCTAGCGCTAAAGAGCGTATATTCAAAGTAGTTTATTCGGACGAGTTAGCTCGGGCATTTACGAGTCTGTCACGCCAACCATCACAGTCCTGCATCAAGGTCGGAAGGTCATTTGGGAGGCATTCTGTCATAACATAACTTGTCACTGTAGGTGGTTGCTAGGCGACTAACACGTCTTGCTCCATGACCAGAGCAGTAGATCACCCGCAAGTTCTTATTTTGTTTGCCAACAGTGTCCTGATAAGTGCCTTTTGCGTTCGCGTAAGAATGTAGAAATATCAGGGTTGGGACCATAAAGCTGTGATTTAGTTGGATGCTGTCTCCAGGAGATGTTAGGTATAGTTCTCAGCATCCGAGTGTAGGTTTCATCAAGCTTGGAGTGTAGGGTTTTAGTTAATGTCTAGGAATTAGCACCATACATTAACACCGCCTCTAAAATGGCTCGAAACTATCTCCGCTTAGCATTGATAAATTAAAAATAAATTAATTTAAATGAAAAATTCCCCCGATCCTCTCTTACATGAAAGTTATGAAATAAAAATTTATGTAAAATATTTAAGAAGGCGGAGAAAATATTAAACAACAAAGAATTGATCGGAAAAATAGACACTAACCAAATAAGAAAAAGTAATAAAAAGAAAAAGAGATCTTTCTTTTCCTATGTGAATATTTGTTAAGCTTCACGGTATCAGACACAGTGTCTCGGAACAATTAACTCCGAAATATTAGATTGTCACACATGAAATGACGTACTTTATAGGAAATGAATAAAACGCTTCTGAAATGATAAATAACTAATTTATTTAGTTGAAATAGGCACCATGTCGATGAATGACTGTTCCCAACGTACCTCTAAATTCTTGATCACATGTTTAAAAAAAAATTAATTCTTTTTCATGCTTTGATTACCTCTTCCTTATTGGAGAATATTTTATTGCGTATCAAAAGCTCAAAATTTGAATTTGAAGGTGAATATTGAGGATAAGGCAAAATTTCATAATTCAGGCAATGCAGCTTTTAGACAGTTATTTGAGAAGCGTGCGGCTGTACGTTGTGGTGCAGCAAAGTTGGGCCATCTTTATTCACAAATCTAGAACGTTCCTTTTTAAATTTTTCGTGCATATACTCAATTTCTCCACAATACGAGTTTGATGTTATTGTTTGAGGCAAGAATGAATAATGAATAACCTCTTTGAAAGACCACCATACAGTAAACATTAACATTTTAGGTTGCAGTGGAGGTTTTGGGTATTGTTTTGGTGATTCACTTGCATCTAACCACTGGCCTACTCTCTTACTCTTGTCAAAGAGTATCCATTTCTCATCGCTTGTAATGATTCGATGCAAAAATAGTTCTTTTTCCCAGTTTGTACTCATACAGTAAGATTACTCGACATTGTTTCTGTTGTGGAGTATTTTCACAGTGGAGGCTTGTATTTCTAATAAGCCGTCCTAAATTAGGTCCGACGTACAAAACGTTAGGAACTTAGAAAATAAGAGTCAATGGCGCAGCAATCTAGTTGTGATGGTTGGTACTTCAAATGTCCGAATCTCGACTGACGCGCTCAACACCATTCTGCCAGACTTGCCACTGCTACTCCTACTTATTATCTATGGGAGAGTCCATTACAATAGAATAGGTACTATGGCATAACAGTTTCATTGTAATCAATTTCATTGGGCTTATGTGTAAAAAAATATCAGGTTACTTTGCTAGACGACTGGATCAACAACTACCTAAAAATACGTCATTTCATGTGTGACAACCTAATTTGTTAAACAAAAAACAGGTTTGCAGATATATCGTATATTATACAGTAAGTACACCAGAAGAGTATTATACGACTAGTGTATCGTAGGAACCAGCGCTCAATCTATTCACAGTGCACCTTTCCCCGAATCTTCTCTCCTACTAAACTTATAGTAGACGGAAGAGTCTAACATAGACTCTTAGAGGGAGGACACAACAACATAATTGCAAAAACGTCGATAAAATAGTGAACTGATATTCCATGCTGTCTTTTTACAAACAACAATCAGAAAAGATGTATTGGGATAAAAATTGTAAACAAATAAATAAAAATAAAATAGTGAAACATCTTTTGACCGAATGCATAGATCTCGTTCCTACATAACAAAGATAACACGACACAAATGAGAGAAATATTTAAAAATAATCAAGTAAATTCTTTATATGAAAACAAAACTCTGAAACCGTAAAACTATTCATGACAATAAGAGAATTCGACATTAAATCACATCGAATATAACGTAAAACAAAACAATCTCTTCTAATAGACTATTATCGACGTTATATTGAATTGTTACCCTTTTTATATTGTCTTACATTAATACAATATGAAACCAAATAACAGGAAATTTTGCAAGCTCGTGCTGCGCCAATCTTTCAATCAAGAAGTGCCTGTCTTGAAAAAACCGTATTAGAAAGTTGCCGTTTACAAGTATCCTAGGGAAATCTGCAACTACTTTTAGTCATCAAACATGCCCGAATAGTTGCCATTTTATAAATGCTGATCAAGCAGCATCCAAGATGATTAACTAGCGGAATTGTTTTGTTTATAGCTTATCAATCTTCTGTGGGATATTTAAAGCCAAATAATTTTTCAAACTGTAGGATGTTGCTTACAGTACCCGGTGTTCCCAAGTAGTGTCCCATCTAAGTACTGACCTGGATCGATACTGCTTAACTTCGGTGATCGAACAAGAATTTTCAGCATGACTTGACCGTAAGCTTCGAGTGAATAAATACATTACGTTAAAGAATCACATATTCGGTATAGACATGTTGCCGAAGAAAAAGAAAGAAGCAAAATCCTAAATGAACACACGGAAGAAAGAACGAGCATACAAACTATTGTAAGAAATAAAGAATGAAAAACAAAATGTAAATTTATTGTAAGAAAGAAAGAAAGAGAAAAAGAAAAATCTACAGTCTAAACGAACAAAGAAAAAAAAGGAACAGACAAATAAACAAAAACGACCAAAAAAAGAAATGAAAAATACAAAGAAAGAAAAAAAATATTATTTACATTGTTCCTCATCTTTATTGCCATATTCATGACGTTTCGGCCGGTGTAGGCTCTGGACTTCATCAGGTAATTAGAATTTCAAACTGAACCCTTTATTTCGTCCACCGTGGTAGATGTTATTCATCATGACGGTCGTCTTCGAGTATAGAATCCAGAGGTTAGTAGTGAATATTTCGAAGACAGTAGGAAAGCGTTGTTTAGTTTAGCAGTGGATATTTCGATAAAAGTAGCAGGGCATAGTTCGTTTCTTTTCGCCTGACAAGCTGGACTGGACATTCGGGTAGAGTGAACAAAATGGCCGCCTTTATAAACGACGGATTGAATGTTCTACGTCTTCTGATTGGTTAACCTTCTATTGGTGGACTATAAAGTGAGTTAAGTCATCTGAGCTAACTCACTAGTACATAACATACACAAAAAACTGTAACAATAGATTGTTCTAGTTTCTCCTGCTATGCCTCTTCTGGATGTCTCAGTTATCTCCCTTTGACTCAACTCTTCAATTTATTTGTTCACCACTGCAGTAGCCAGGTATTGATCTCGCAACTGTTTCGTTGAAGTCAGTGGATCCAACGAATGCTTTTATCCACTGGGCCATATGTATGAATTTTGCTGACTTAATGTCTCAGTTACCATTTTTTACCAGAGCTCATATGGTTATTTTATTGTTATTATTGCTGTTCTCTAGCACTCCATATTACTAGTTCCCATACTGTATTCATTTTTATGCTTGTTCGGCTCAGGAGATTTTTATGTAAATAATTACTATACCTCATCTCAGAAACATAGACAGGTGAAGAAAAAACAAAAAGAATAAAAAACCAATCGAACAAACGAAAGAAAGAATGTAATAAAAGAAAGAAAGATGATAACCAGAGGGAAAAAAATGAAAAAGAAAGTTAAAATATATATATATATATATATATATATATATATATATAACAGGGAAGAAAGTAACGAAAGAAACCCTCCAGTGAGAAATCAGTTCCACTCGAGCAGCTTCTGTCAGGCAAACTACTGCCCTATGTTTCCCCGATCACTACAATCTGAACTTGCTCAAGGCTAGGGTTAACCGTTATCTTCCACTCATATACACACAAATAGTCTCCAAACGTAACTCTCTACCTTGAATGACCCCCGGTCCTTGTAAAGGCCGGAACTTTGCTGTAAAAAAATAAAAAAAAATGAAAAATAAAAACGAAAAAGAATGTTTGAAACTATCGAAAGAAAGAAAGAAAGAAAGAAAGAAAGAAAGAAAGAAAGAAAGAAAGAAAGACGGTAATGAAAGGACGGAAAAGGAAGTGGAAAATTATTGTAACAAAGAAAGGCAGTAATGAAAGGAAGGAAGAGAAAGTCTAAAACTATTGTAAGAAAGAAAGAAAGAAAGAAAGAAAGAAAGAAAGAAAGAAGGACATAATGAAAGTGTAAAATTATTGTAACAAAGTGTTGTGAGGGAGAATTTTTCCCAACAATTTTGGATTCAGCCGCCGGACGAAAGACATAAAAATACTCCTATATTAAAAGGTAATAAACTTGTTAAACCAATTCCGGTTTTCTTCCGTTGTCTGTGATAACTCAGTTACAACAGTTTGATCTTCGTCGCCAAACAGTTGTAACTGAGTTATCAAAAACAACAGTAGAGAACAGGAATTGGTTTAACAGCATGTTTATTACCTTTTAGTACAGGGAAACATAATGTAGAATAAAAACTAGGGAAGAGAATGTTTAGCTGTGAATGAATAAATGTTTACAGCAAAGGCTACTACTCCTTCTGCTACTCCTCTTGATGTAGGTGTATTTTTATGTATTTCGTCCGGCAGCCGAGTTCAAACTTGCAGGGAAATATTTTCCCTCACGACAAAAGAAAGAACGAAACAAAGAAAGATAGTAACAAACGAAAGGAAAAGAAAGTCTAACACTATTGTAAAAAAGAAAGAAAGAAAGATAAAAATTTTGTTGGGGAGTGTATGAGTATTATTTATGACATTTTATCTGCTTTTGAGCAGAACTATCACTTTATCTACAAGTCCTAAGCACATGGGATTTCAAGATTGGAAGTTTACTTTCTCCATTCTAACAACGTGTCGAGTTGTTATAACAACTTGCTGATAATGCAATATTTCTTCTAAAGTGCTGCTTTTATAAATAATAAGGCGGTTATAAATTTGCATTCATATCCACACAAACACAAATATCTTGGGAGAGAAATGAAAAGAAATTAAAAGACGCGGTCAGGTTCACATAGATATAAACAGATACATCTACAAAAAGATAACCGATATTCTTTAAACGGAACACGAGAAAGACCAAGATGTATTTCTTGTTTAAAGGTGTCGTCTGCTTTTTTATTTCTTTTCTTTTTAAAATTACCGTCGACTAATTTCTGTTCTTCCATTTCGTGAGAGTAACATTTCTCCACGAATATTTATGCTCATAATATTATTACTCCATAGTTAATACGCTAAACAATCTTATACTGTTACTTGAAATCAATGTTTCTCGACAAGTCTTATGATTCTAAAATAATTACTCTGTAACGTTAGTCTAATTAAATTAATGTCGTTTATTGAGAGCAACATTTCTGATTCAATGTTTTTGGATTCATATTTCAATTTATACTAATAACAAGCATCTCAAATGTTTTAAGGATTTTTTCTTCTTTTTGTTTTTAATTTCCATTTATCACAATAATAAAATTGCAAAAAAAGAATGAAATTTTAAAATGAATTTAAACATCTCATGAGAATGGATAAATAAAAGCAATATTCTTCCATAGTTACTATAATATAATGCAATATAATACACTTCAAATATTATTCGCGAATTAACGTGGAACACATAAACTTATTTATAGATACACGTATATGTCATACATATGTACAAAAGTTACCAGCCTCTTTATTTTTTAAGCTAGAAACAGAATGCACAATAAATTACTTATATTTTTTAATAAAAAAAAAAGCTGGGACTTTTTGCACCCAACTAATATTAAAGAATATTAAAGAGAGCATGCACATACACTGGGTACGACTTTTCTCCTTGTTCTTGTTCTTGCTCTTATTGTTCTTCTTCTATCTGCCGCGTCCTCTCAGGACGTTGGTGATCATGGCTCTTCATAATTTCCTGTCCTTTGTAGTTCTTAATAAATTTTATCATTTTGTTATCTCTCCTCAACCTTGCTCTGCCATCCATTTACTTAAGTTCGCTAGGTAGGTGACGCGTTGTTTTCCTCTGTCCATTTTGCTTACTCTTGTGAGTATCAGATTTTCTAAGCCCTCTTTTCTCAATATGTAACTTAGAAATTTCAACTGTCTCATCAGTATAAGTGTCCTTTTGTTTGCATTTTCTCTAAAACCTCGTCGTTGCTCACATACTCGGTCCATTAGCATAGTTGCTAGTAAGATTTCTTCTGGATTAATTGTAGATGATGGTGGTGGTGGTGGTTCTTCTTCTTCTTCTTCTTCTTCTTCAATGTGACGCTCCCGTTCAGGATATTGGCGATCATGGCTCTGCATCATTTTCTGTCCTTTATAGCTCTTAATAAATTTTGTCTTTTTGTTCCGCCATCAATTTACACAAGATAGCTTGGTACGTTCTATGTTGTTTTCCTCTGTCCCTCTTGCCTTCAATCCATCCTGTGAGTATCAAATGTTCCAAGCCCTCTTTAGTTCAGGATATTTGAACAAATTGATCAATTTGCTCATCACCACACGTTTTCCGACTCTTGCTGAAAATTTCAAACTCCAGAAAAGAAGCAACAACATTGAGTATCGATTTTTCCTTCTTTTGAAAAATCTACTTCGCGATTTTAGTTTCTGAACATTGGACAACATCACTTACAAGTGGAGACGAATACAAAACAAAACATCTTCAAAGAGCTTTATTATCCTAAATACACAGAGACAATGACATACCTACCAGCCAAGTTTGCTATAGAGAAGTGGTAGTAGTGAGTTAGAGAAGTGGTAGTAGCTATAGAAAGAAGTGGTAGTAGTTTGGTAGAGTTAGTAGTGAGTTAGTAGGTAGTTAGAGAAGTGGTAGTAGTGAGTTAAAGAAGTGGTAGTAGCAAGTTAGAGAAGTGGTAGTAGTGAGTTGGAGATTTGGTAGCAGTAAGTTAGAGAAGTAGTAGTAGTGAGTTAGAGAAGTAGTAGTAGTGAGTTAGAGAAGTGGTAGTAGTGAGTTAAAGAAGTGTGAGTAGTTTGGTAGTAAGTTAGTTAGAGAAGTTAGGTAGTAGTGAGGAGAGATGGTAGTTGGAGATTTTTGGTAGTAGTGAGTTAGTTTGGTAGTAGTGAGTTAGAGATTTGGTAGTAGTGAGTTAGAGATTTGGTAGTAGGGAGTTAGAGATTGGTAGTAGTGAGTTAGAGATTTGGTAGCAATGTTAGCAAGTTAGAGAAGTGGTTTGGTAGTAAATTAGAGTTGTAGCGAAGAGATTTGGTAGTAGTAGTTAGAGATTTGAGTTGAGATTTGGTAGTAGTGAGTTGGAGATTTGGTAGCAGTAAGTTAGAGAAGTGGTAGCAAGTTAGAGAAGTGGTAGTAGTGAGAGATTTGGTAGCAGTAAATTAGAGAAGTGGTTGTAGCGAGTTAGAGATTTGGTAGTAAATTTGGTAGTAGTGAGTTAAGTTTGGTTGTGAGTTAGAGTTTGGTAGTAGGGATTAGAGAAGTGGTAGTAGTGAGTTAGAGATTTGGTAGCATTTAGAGTAGTGAGTTAGAGAAGTGGTAGTAGGGAGAGATTTGGTAGAGAAATTAGAGAAGTGGTATTTGCAGTAGTGAGTTAGAGATTTGGTAGTAGGGAGTTAGAGATTTGGTAGTAGGGAGTTAGAGAAGTGGTAGTAGTGAGTTAGAGATTTGGTAGCAGTAAGTTAGAGAAGTGGTAGTAGTAAGTTAGAGAAGTGGTAGCAGTGATTTAGAGAAGTGGGAGTAGTGAGTTTGATCCTCAATAAGCACTCCACAGTTGTGGCTTTGTGCCAGACTAAGTTAAGCTTTGTAAAAAAAAAAACACTGAGCCTGCTTGGTGGGTTTAATAGCTGTTTGATTTCCACCCACGCCAGTCAGTGGTATGTGTTTTAGGTGAAAAAAAAAAACAAAAAAAACCTTGAATGCTGATTTTGCAAGGAGGCGGACAACAGGTGGATAATACATAGCGTTGCTTTAGCCAATCGGTTTTTGGTTATCAAAATATAACGTGTCAATATTTACAGAAAGATATACAGTCGAAGAAGAATAAATAACTACTTACATCTGGTTGGATAGCTTACAGAATCAAAAGTAATATCTATAAATACCTACTTATTACCTGTTCTTCTGTATGGGATCGAGTGTATGAATTCGAACTCAGCTTTACGCAAGAAAAAAAATTGGGTCCTTTCAATATCATGAGATTCATAACAAATCATAGATTATCAGATGTTATAAAAAGTGAAGAGCATCTTGAGATTAACGAAGCTACCGATTATGATCATTATTAAAAACAAAGCGTGAAAACTATACGGTTACAAATCAGATCTCTTCAAAGTTTACAGGTAAGTTTACTGTGATCAGTTCACCGCAAGAAAGTTTAACGCCATCAATTTACCGCGAGGAAATTTTACCGCGAGGAAAGTTCACCGTGGGAAAAGTTTACAACGCACAAATTTCACCGTATAAATTCAGTAGATTTTATAATTAATAATTTAGAATTCATTTTTATATACTGAGTGTGCGATGAATAAATTGTTTAAATTACGCAGAAATGAAAATAACACTGACATTTCATTTTAACAGACATATTTACCACAAAAATATCTAACTAAAGAGTAAATTTATTCAATAAAATCGCCATTGGCATCAATCACGACTTCCAGACGACATGTAACTTTTCTGGGCGGTCCTCTTTTTTAAATTAGTGAATGCTGCCATAATCCTTGCCTTCCAAGGAGTTTTGTTGGCCTCTCGTCCCACACGTAATAATTAAGGGGGTGAGGTCTGGGGAGTTAAGTGGCCGGATGTAAGGGGTGATGTGGTCACAAAAATTGTCTGACAGCCATGACTGGGTTCTCCTGTTTGTGTGGCATGGTGCTGAGTCCTGTTGCCAGACATAGTCATGAGTATTGAAATAAAGATGAGACAGGAAGTCAGTTGACCGTGAAAGGAGACATGATTAGACATGAATGGGTAAGAAAGGTGATCCAATGGGAACTATATTAGTGCTTAAATTTTGGCCACGCTGACCAATGGCGTATATAGAAACTAGAAACTTTTCGACTGTAACAGGTTTTGAGGGGCTTTTGAACTTGAATAATCCTTTTTAAGGATAATATTGATCGGAGATTAGGACACTTTCTTTTTTGTTTTTATATATGGTTGCAGTTTAAGCGTGTATAAGCATATAAATATGCGTTTATATGATTTTGTATTAATTTTGCAGTAAATGTTCACCTGCCCCAAAAGTATAAAGATCACACACTGGTAAATTAACAGTTTACACCTCCAACAGATAGATAAATAGATTTGTTTTTTTTTTTGTTTTTTCTGGAGAGATGATCCAGACGTTTTTTTGCTTTTTTTTTTAAATAAGCTTCCGTCCAAGAATAGATACTAACCACTTTTGCTGACAACAATCACGTGTCGGCCGTTGCCTACTCTTATTGGTCGATTATTTACTCTTTCTTCCAGGATCTAAAGTCTTATTATCGCGATTAAGTTCAGAATAGAAGTCTGTAGCCTTTCAGATAACCATAGATTCGAGACGACACTGTGCCTTTTTTTATTTTAATTATCAGAACTTTTTTTAATATATATTCGGCAAACGCCAAGCACATACACGCGTTTTTATCAATTCCGATATTTTGCGGTGCAGCTGTTCAAGCTATTGAAGTAAAACATGGCCGAGAAAAGGTTGGCATTGCAATACGTTAAATATTTCTCCAGTTTTTATGTCTAAAAACAGAGACTGTGCAAGGTCAACTTCTTTCGTGGCTAATATTTTCGTTTCTTATCTTTTAACGCCATTTCTCTCTCGATATTTCTCTATCTCTCTCTCTCTCTCTCTCTCTCTCTCTCTCAATTACCGCGTTTATTTTTTATAAACTCTTATTCCACTCTATTTCCTAATTATACACAAGCTCATATACCTAAGCAGAAATATGCGAGCAAAGAACTAAGGTGTATTTAGGCAGTAATAATTTCTCAATAAGCCTAAATTAAATTTAATTTGTCTCTTATTTTTATTGTTTTTCCATTTTTAACCTCTATTTCTATAAAACAATGTCGTCAGTTTGTGCTGTAGTTCTCCTGGCTTACTGCAGGTTCGTGTAACTTAAATGAGGTGTATTTAGGAAGTAAGAATTCGTTCAAACATATTGTATAAAATTCATTCGACAAAATCTATCTGTTAAATTTTATTGCATTTTCCCACTTTTCAAATAAGAAGTGTGCATTGAGATCAAAATTGTGGGTAAACTGTCTGAAACATGACTCTTTTTGCTTTATTCAAGTACTTTCGACTGTCTCAATGAACATCAAGGCATTGGTATTGTCAGTGTGGTAGACAAGATTTTGTTGGGTACTTCATAGCATTTTTGCAGTACTGGAATTCGAATAAAGCCAAAGTGAAAACAGTTAAATAGGTTAACGTTAAAATGATTAAACAAAGATATATATATATATATATATATATATATATATATATATATATATATATATATATATATATATATATATATATATATATATATAATCCGTATGGATAATTTCAAAGAGGATATAAATCCAAAGAGAGCTCAGTGTAAAAACAGAGCAAATGATAATTATGAAAGCGGTGACTTTACAAATCCATGGTAATATTTTATTTCGCAAAACCGATACTGTCACTGTTTTCATATATATATATATATATATATATATATATATATATATATATATATATATATATATATATATATCCATTCTATGTAGTGATTCGCACAAAATCTCAAATCGATAATAAGGCGAGGTTATGAGATATATCGTATTTGATGATATTTAAAACTTATCTATAGATATCGCTATTTCCATTGAAAGTGTTTGGGCGAAATACATTCCTTAGTACCACCAATTCTAACTTTCAAGGCTAAGATCCACGCAAATCGTAACAAACCAATCTCATTCCCTTTGTATTCCATTGGTGAGATGTAAATTACACTTGAACAGCTTCTTCCCACTAACCGCTAACTTGAGGAACCAATTCCCAAAGAGGATGCTTCCTCGATTACAACAATCTGTTCCAGTCTAACGTTAACAATTATCTTCCTCACGTATCCTCAAAAACTGTGCTTATTACCTCTTACTGTGTAAGCCCTCTACCTCGAGTGGCTTACGACCATATCACGCTGAAACACCGATTTTTGCAAGATCACTGAAATTAAGCAACGCCAGTACCTATATGCGACCGCCTGGGAATACCAAGTTCTGTACGCTTGGATGTGCATGAGCTGGTAATGGATAACGGCTCGGGATTGGAATTCGGATAGCAGAGTTCGAATTCCAGTCGGGTTCTTTTTAATCACTCAGGCGCAAATACCCTTGCGAAAGTTATGAATATACCTCTCTCCCAACTATGGATTAATTAATTGACCTTGTATTAGTAAATCCTTATTATCCCCCGCCAAAATTATTAAGATAATGAAATATTTCTGGTTTTAAACAGGCTGTGAAGGGTTGATAAGACGTAAAACACAAATCAATCTACCACGAGTGGCTCTCGGGACTTGTACAGGCTGAACATTATTTTAAAAATAAGCAAACCGAAAAGAAAGAGAAAGTTCGCCAATGTATACATTTGTGATGTCCGTATTGTTTATATCATATTTCTTCCCAAACATAGATTACAGATATCAGAAAATATCTCGATCTTTCATTTTGAATATAAAAGAAGGCACAATTTACCGTACTCGAACTCTAGTGAAAATATATAATATTTTTTGTGTTTCTCATTCGAGAGTGCAGGTAAAAATATCCGGAAGACAGACCTTTCATTAGAAAATGTCATTATTTCTAATAAAACAATTGACTGGTTACGTGCATTTTGTTATTTGGTGCTCGTGAATTCACTCTCTTTATTGGAGTATTATGGTGATTTTCGAAGCGTAGTCGAAAGTATGGGACACCCAGTGAGGATCGAACTCACTAGTCAGTCGTAATTGTTCTAGGAAGACGAGCATGCTAACCATTACATCACGTGCTCAATGATTTTTAATCGCAGAACAAGGCCGAAAGTATGGAGCACCCAGTAAGGATCGAACTTACTACTCGTAGTTGATCTAGCGAGACAAGCTTTCTAGCCATTACACTAAGTAGAAGTGTCCTTCCTTGGGTCGTCTTTAAAGAACCAAGTTCGAATAAACATAGTTTGTAATCTATTGTCTAACCTTGGAATATATTAAAAACAATGTTTAAAATAGACAAGTCATTGTTATACTTGATCAATAAATATTTTGTTTCAGAAGGAAAGGGTTTTTTTGCCTGGAAAAATTAAGATAATAAAATAATCTGTATTTGTTTTTCTTAATCCATCAAATCCACTCGATGATATATAATAAATAAGCATGTAATTATTTATTGAGTGAACAAAAGGACGAATCCCAGTGCATAGAAGAAGATTCAGCATTTAATAGTGACGACAACAGGAAATACGTAGCACATTCAGCAACTAATTTATTGTGCTACATAGGAATAGAATTGATTGGTTCGTTTTTTACAGCTTATCAACCTTTTGTCGGTTATTTAAAGCCAGAAAAAATTATTGTGCTACATAGGAATAGAATTGATTGGTTCGTTTTTTACAGCTTATCAACCTTTTGTCGGTTATTTAAAGCCAGAAAAAATTATTGAAAATCAGATTATTTTAAAAATTCTTTTTGGTGGTGGGATATAATCAGTGTTTAGTGATACTTACTAATTAACCCATAGCTAGAAGAGAAGATGTGGATTCATACATTTTCCAAAAGTATTTGCACGTAAATGAATATAACGAACACAACAGGAATTGGAACTCGGCTCTCCAATTAACAATTTCGAGCCATTATCCATTACATCACCCGCACATCCAAGATTACAGCTCCTAGTCACCCATCTATGGACTGACCAGGCTCCTGATTATTCTATAATGTTTAAGAAAAAAGGAAACAAAAATCTCATCCATACTTAGAATAATAAGGAGACAGTTGACACATAATGAGGAAAGACTGCTTGAAAAATTTGACAATATTTAGAGTCGATAAGTTGTATAATGAAACTGATTATTCAAGCTAAGGGATTATATATAAGAACAAATCTCTATTAGTAAACATTTGAATAAAATATTCATTTAGAAATGGGCGTGCGTGCAGTTATTCAACAAAACAATAGGTGTTTAATTTATGACCTAATAATTGCAGTTGAAAGTGTCAGGGTAGAGTGATAAAAATTGGTAAATAAATAAATAAATAAAGAGAGAAAATGTAAGAAAAAAATAAAGAAAGAAAGAAAGAAAGCGGAAAAATGTAAGATAAAAGAAGAAAAATGTAAGAAAGAAAATGTAAAACAGAAAGAGAGAAAATGTAAGAAAAAAAGAAAGAGGGAAAATGTAAGAAAGAAAAAAGAAAGAGAAAATGTAAGATTATTTAAAGAACCATATTCGAATAAACAATTATTTACAGACTAATGTCTTCATTTTTGTTGTTATGCTCACAAAGTTTCGGTCATGTACTCTTCGGCCTTCTTCAGGAGTTTGTTGATCTAGGTAAACTACATGAAGTTTCGAACTGAAATCTTTATTCGGTTTACGGAGACAGTTTTTTGGCGTTCCCGTTAGGATATCTTTCTTGGTTAATTGTTCGGTTATCGCTAGTCCTGTTTTTACTGGGTCTGAGTAAATCCGTATTACTCGACCCAGGGATTGAACTCGCAATTATTATGTCACTATATTCGTAATAACAAGGATGAGGACAATTTTCAAATGTAAATTCTGATAATTCTTCATCTTAGAACATCAGACATAAAAGATTTCAGCCGATTTGAATTTAATCAATCTTTGTGTAAACCTTAAAAACAATATTTTGGACCAATTTCTAAGGCTACAGCGACCGAAATGCTAACAAATAAATAAATAAATAAAAATAAAAACAAACATATGAGGAAGCTGACCCGAAAAAAATCACTGTATAATAATACCAACGCCTTGTGTCATAAATTTGAACAGAATTTGATCGCTATGCTTATCTGACGACGTCTATACAACAAAGATTATTTAACATCTTATATTTGAAAAGAAACGATTCTCCTCTCAGACGCTTAAGATCAATTTTTTTATAAGATTCTCCAGAAATGTATGGCATAATTAGTTTAAAATAAAAGAAATATTATAGGCTAGCGTAACACCAGTAAATATGACGGGATTATTTACGTATTAATGTGCACTTCTGTCCAGATTCAGAATGTCTGTTATTCTCTCGGATTTTTAACTGGGATCAGAGTGTAGAATCTCTTTTAAATCCTCTGCCTTGTTTCAGTGCTACGATACGAGTTGTGTTTTCCCTTCGGACACTTCAAGGTCTAGCAATTAGGAAAGCATGGTCCCGGAGATAACAAAGCTGAGACAACGCTTCTCTTATTTTCCACCAAAAGAAAGGAGTCGGAATACGCTTAAATATGGGCGACAGTGATCACAGAGATTGAGCAATTTTTGTTCTGAGGTCCATATGAACAAGTATTGTCACACCATTCCACCGTGGGGCTGAGCAGATAAATATCGGATCAGAATATGGCAGAGAATGGCATACGATCCTCTAACTCTGGTTTCGGGAACTGGAAACATCTTGGACTTTGGCCATACATACACACATAAAGAGAAAGAGAGATTAACTTGGAGTAAGTTTCCAATCGTAGGACTAACCATCGATCTCACATAGATACTGAAATTGTTAACATAGTCTGCCAGAGGACAACAAAAGCAGGGCATCAAGAATAGATTGACATTAAAAATCATATATATATATATATATATATATATATAGAGAGAGAGAGAGAGAGAGAGACTTTTTTGCTGTATCACAGATCATCAGTGTGGCTAGACGTCCAGTTGCCTCTAGCTAGGATCGAAACCCGGCTAAATTGGCGTCAGCCGGAGATTCTATCCCTAAGCCGTTGGCGCACGGCAGGGATAAAAGTGAATTTAAGCGTATTTATTTTTTAGATAAACACACAGTGACTGAGAGAACTTAGTTTTACCGAAGAGTCTTGCATTATTAACAGTAATAGTCGCTGTTTACAAACTCACACTTCCTTCTTCGTGTGTGTGTGTGTGTGTGTGTGTGTGTGTGTGTGTGTGTGTGTGTGTGTGTGTGTGTGTGTGTGTGTAAGCAAATAGGCATGTGAACGAGTGGTTAGAATGTTGGCTTTCCGATCATGTGCCTGAGCAAGCCTTTTCTGGCCACCCTAGTATATTATCGGAAATGAGCAGCCGGTCATTATATATGTGCATTTTTCCAAATGGAAATATTCTGATATACGACTTCTTTGTATACATCTTCATATCAGATGTTTTTTTGTCAAGCTGCCGCTCAACTGATATGTATTACAAGGCAAAAAATGGGTTATAGGTGGGAATGTTCAACTTCGAATTCCATACCAGTAAGCTCTACTTCTGATGGTATAGGTCAAAATAATAAATTTGAAAGCATAACTTTCGGAACAACACTCCTTTGTGTGTTTTTTTGATATGTGGTTTTTAGAATTGTTCTTTATTTACGCAGTTATATATTGCCATCAACAAATCAGCTCTTCTCGTGAAGAGAACTCATATTCGCTTGATTTTATCGTGAGAAAAAAAAAACTATAGGAGTTGTTTTTGGCTCTTTTTGTTTGCTTCAACATACAACTTCATATTTTATTAAACTACATCGTATTCTTTTTAAATTTATCTGCTTCTTTCTTTATTTTGTTTTACTTTCTTTTGTAGGTCATCCATTTTTCCTTTCTTTTTCAAACTTTTGCTCTTTCATATTTCTTTCGTTAAATTTCCTGATTTTCACACATTTTCTTTTTTCTTCTCCTCCCAAACTATTTTTTCACATTATTTTTCATAATGTTTTTATTTTCCCAAATCTTCATTAAGTTTTCCCTTCTTTCATGTCTTTTACTTCTCCAAACTGTATTCATAATACATTATGATTTTTTTTTATAAATACAAATTTCCTGTTGTCTTTTTTCCCCTACTTTTGAACAAGACACAAAATACGAAGGAGACTGAAAAGATGACAGCCCAAACCACTTTAAAAAATCTGACAAAATCAAGCATTAATTTTTAAAAAATACCTTTTTGAGAGGGCCTCCTCATATGTGGGCGAACATGCCTCTCCTCAGCTTCCTGCCCCCATGCAGTGACGTTTGATCCTTTACCACGTATCTTTGTCTCCATTTTATAATTCATTTGCATAAACTCATTAGTCAGGTTACTCGATATTTCTCTCTGAGTCATATTCCTTCAATACGTCCTGTGAGTGTTAAATTTTCCAATGACTCTTCCCTAATTATGTTTCCTAGAAATTTCAACCTCTCTCTCTTTCGGAATCTATGTACAAATATCCTTTTTGTTTCCATTTTCCTTAAAACTTCCTCGTAGCTTCCATGTTTCGTCGATGGTATTCTCAGCATCCTTCTGTAGAACCATATCCCTGTCTCCTCGTCTTCTCTTCATCTGAGATGAGATTGTTCAGCGTTCACTGCCGTATAGGGGAACTGATATTAATAGTTATGCACTATTTTCTTTTATTCCCTTTTTTTCGTTTAAATCTTAAAAGCGTTCGTCTGTTATACTGTTCTCATTTTTTCTTTCTTTCGTCATTTCTCTTTTTATTTTCTTTATTTTTCTATATTTTCTTTTCATTGTTTTTCAATCATGTCTTTATATCTCTCTTTTTCTTTCCAGTCTTTTTCTTCATTTCTTTTATGATTTTACGTCCTTTTTCTTCATTCTTTGCCTTCATTAATTAGATTCTTTTCAGCATTTAACATTTCCTTCTTTCATAATCATTGGTTTCTTTTCATTCAAGTTTCCTTTTTATTATGCATTACTCTTTTCATTCTTGCTTTATTATCCTTCTGTTTCACAATATTTCTTTCTTTTATTTTCATCCTTTCTTCTTTTTTTTTCTTTCATTATCTCTCTTTTTTTCATATTATTACTGTTTTGGTACATGTCAGTTGCTCCATCCTCTCTTGCCATCTCCATTATTCCCAGATTCACCACCATCTTCCTTTCGCTTCTGTCTTCCGTGTCCGCTGAGATGACGGAAGTCCAGCAGCTGATTTAAACTTCCGGTAGCAAACAAGGCAGACGAAAACCGTTTTTTTTTTTCGTCACGATCAGACCAACCTGTGAAACGTCCCTTTTATGCATCACCACGTGTCATTTTAATCCAAGTGCTGACTTAAAAACTGTTGTCGACTACATTTTTTTTGTACGTTGAGGAAGTATTTTGATATATGCCGCCTGCTTCTGACGATTCGCATGAGACTTGGCGTGATTGGCATATCCCACACTGGAAAGAAATATGCGACCGCACACTTCTCATTTCTACTTAGGCTTGCGACCATACCATGTTGAAACACCAGTTTTCGTACAGATCACCGATGTTAAGCAACGTCGTGTCTGGTCTTTACCTACATCGGTGACCTTTTGGAAATACCAGATTCCGAATTGTGTAATGAATAAGAGCTCTGAATTGGAAACTGGAGTGCCGAGTTCCAGTTCCGATCGAGTTAGTTATATTCACTTACACGCAAAATATACTTGCGAAAGGTATGAACCCAGCTTTTCTCCTCAGCCCCAGCTATAAGTTGATTAGTAGGATTTAAACCATTATCTCCAAAAATCCTTACAATTTAAAAACATTTTCTGGCTTTAAATTACCTGCAATAGGTTGGTAAGCCTTAAAAAACCAAGTCAATAAATCGATCAACATTTACAGTTTGATTTGAATAATCAAGAATTGATACGCCTTCTTCCCGAAGATCCCGCTTAAGTGTAGCAAGTTTAAATCTTTCCTTCTTAAGCAACTTACAATCTTTTTTTTTTCATGAAGCGCATCCAATCAGAACGATTTTCTGCTAACTCTTCTCAGCATACAGATCTTTCAGATTGTTTTTAACGAAGTCCTTGAATCTTTTGATTCTATAGTGGACGCTTCCCAAATTGTACCTGGCGTAGAAAAATCTCTTTGGAAACCTGTTTTCATCCATGCACACAAGCCCTGACCAATGCATTTGTTTACAGATAATCAGTCTTGGTACTCACGGTGTCAGCTCTACTAAGTACATCGGTATCATATTGAGTATTTTCTCAAACATTTCTGATGGACCTTTCAAGCAGGTTTATATTGTCCTTGTGTCCGACCAGTATAGAATCGCTGCCAGAAGTTATACGATGGTCACTGACTTTAGTTTACATGCTAAAAGGCTTCGCTCAAAGTATACACGGTTTTTCAATTTGCCAAACATTGCACAAATATTTTGAATTCGCTAATGAATTTTAGCATTTGAATAGTCATCTTTAGAAAAGTACTGCCCCTTATACAAAGATATCAACTATATTCAATTTATTGCTTTTACATATGTGTTAATTTCGTGTATATTATTCAGAAGGTGGAGCAGTGAACATTACTTTAGTTTTTTTACACATGCTTATTGTGCGTCGAACATAGCACATGCACTAGAGAAGCGATCTATTTCATGTAAAATCCTCATCGCAAGCATAAAATTCTCTGAACGGCCCCCCGAATGTTTTGGACTAGAAATTAAATCTCCTCAGATTAGACACCCTTCCTGTAGTTCTAAACGCCAGACATATACGAATGTCACAATTTTGAAAAGCATACATAAGAATTACTGCGATGTAGGTTGGGAACAAGATAGGACCTGGAATATCATCCGGTTTTCTTTTCTTTTTTTTCTTACATTTTCTCACTCTCTTTTTCTTTATTTATTTCTTCCTTACATTTTCTCTCTTTCTTAATTTTCTTTCTTTCTTACATCTTCTCTCACTTTTTTCTTACTTTATTTCTTTCTTATATTTTCTCTTTCTTTTCCTTTATTTCATTCTTTCTGATAATTTCTCTTTATTTTTTCTTTCTTTCTTAGATTTTCTTTCTTACACCGTTTCTTTCATTTTTCTCCTTTTCTTCTTACACTTTCTCTCATTCTTTCTTTGGTTCTTTCTTCCTTACATTTTCTTTCTTACATTCATTCTTTCATTTTCATTTTCTTTCTTTCATTTTCTCGCTTTCATTCATACATTTTCTTTCTTACAATTCGCTCTTTCTTTCTTACATTTTCCCTCTTTCTGTTTTATATTTTCTTTCTTTATTTCTTTCTTATATTTTTTTTCTTACGTTTCTCTCTTTCTGTTTCTTTGTTTGTTTGTTACATTTATTTTCTTTCTTTCTTTCTTTCTTTCTTTCTTTCTTTCTTTCTTTCTTCTAATATTTTCTCGCTTTCTTTCTTACATTTTTCTCCTGGTCTTTTTGTATTTCTTTCTTACATTTTCTCTTTTTTATTCTCTCTTTCTTTCTTTCCCAATTTTTTATCACTCTGCCCTGACACTTTCAACTGCAATTATTAGGTCATAAATCAAACACTTATTGTTTTGTTGAATAACTGCACGCACGCCCATTTCTAAATGAATGTTGCATCCAAATGCTTACTAATGGAGATTTGCTCTTACATATTCACTTAGCTTGATTCAGAGCGAGAGAGGAGGAGAGAGAGTTAGAGGGGAAGAAGACGAGAGAAGGAGAGAGGGAGAAGGAGAGAGGAAGGGAGAGAGAGTGGCTGCATCAGAGTACACTTTTAGTGAGTCACAAAGGACAGCAAACATGTTTGCACCATGCACCAGTTTTTAACATTTCTTATGTCTATTTTAAACATATCGAGGACATTAACATGGCAGCTTCCAATCTGACACCGGAAATGCAAAGACACGTTGCTGTATTTATTGTCAACGGACTCGAAGACAGTCAACATCTTAAATATCGTCAGACGAACAAGAGCATACTGATGTACTCACGGTGATGGACACAAAGTTCACATCGTTTGTGATAGTCCTGGGATCTAGAGATACGATGCTCATGTTATGCCCCTCCACTTCTTTCTGCAGCGTCTAACGTTCAATATCATTGCCCATACCGAGGTGCAAGACATTGTGTCTCAAGCCCTTGATCGAAAGTGTTGCTCTATGTTTGCTAACATGACTCTAGTCACTCCCCTATGGCTATGCAGCTCACGAGTGTCTCTCCGGGAATTTTCAGGATCATGTCACTTTCAATATGTAGCTTCCAAGTTCTCTTAATTTAAATATGAAATATCATCAGTCATTTGACCTTCCGAAAATACTTAGATTTAATATTTAGATTTCGGCATTAAATAAACCATAAAGGTTGATATGCCGGTAAACAATCAACAAATTCAATCCCATCAGATAAAGAGCATCATTTTCTTCGGATGCAAACCTATTTTGGACAGTGGCTCATTTTCTTTCCTCAGAATCATTTTTGTTCCACATTGTGGTAAACACTATTTCATAGCCTCTGATCAGACTTTTAAAAAGTAGCTATTTTTTGTTGCGTTTCACCAAAGAATTGTAGATGGATACGTTGTCCATGACATTTTCTCGTTAAATTATGAGGTACTCAAACATCGTAGCGATTTACGTAACTAACGCCCATATGAGATATGTGGAATATCTCTACGATGTCCCATATCGTCTGACCTGGATTATTTTAAAGCAGCATTTCCATTTTCAACGTTTCCATTCTGCTCATCGGCAACGACTGCATCTCTGTCGGAACGTTGTCAGTATTTCAAATCAAAATTTCCACTTCTGTACCTAGCGAACAAAATATTTTAATCATTTTACTCCAAGCAAGGTGATAATGCCACTAGGACGCAAAGGGTTACTGGGAGTGAAAGAGAATGAGAAAATAAAATAATAGGTTCAGGAAGACAGAATTTGACGATTGGTGTTGCATTTAAATTTTTGAAGATTGTAGGTAGCAGGGAGCAAGAAATCAGGAGTTCCACAGGTGAGAAGTGCAAGAGAAGAAACTATTAGAATAAAAGTGGCGGTTGCATCTAGGTAGATAACCAATTAAACGGTGAGACCTAGTTGCCAATCAAGTAGCCCACTTACGAGCAATACACTGAACTATGGCACCATCTTTTTAAAAGGGTACATATCTTTTACTGCTTGTACAGAATTTCTTACCTTTCCGAAAGTAAAATAGAATCAAATAAAAATGAGTATCATTTCAATTTCACTTTCTACATTAAAACACTCACACACACACATATATATATATATATATATATATATATATATATATAGTTCAACAAATTCTAAGCAAAATGGTGTTACAATATAAATGAAGTCGACTACTATAAAAACTACCTTCTTTTTCTCCATGTATCTAAACTATAAAAATATTACAAACCAAAAACGCGCGCGTGTGTGTGTGTGCATGTGTGTTGTTGCATTCGTGTATGTGTATACAAACATGCACTTGTGATTTAAAATACGCATGTGTGTGTGTGTGTGTGTGTGTGTCGATTCTACTCATTCTCATCTTCGTCAAAACGAATTTTTGCGTGGATCTTGGCATCATTATTCACTTGGGTGTGTTTCAGTTTCTCCCGAATTTGATGACCTCACTGTTAGCTCCCATCCCTTAAGAGACTGTCAACATATTTCCGATTATCCATCATTGATCCTCTGAAGACATTGCAGGCATTCCAATGAGTTGCGTAGTCGAAACGTTCTTGAACGCACAAATTCATTGATTAAAATTTGTAGGCTTATCGATCAAAAGGCTTTGTCGCTTGGAATCTTTATTTTTCGTTGTGTACATGAAACCGGAACGACAGACTAATTAAGGGTCCAATCTTGATAAATAAAAGCAATAAGGACCTGTTCCTGTGTGACTTTCATTAGCAATAGGATCCAGGATAAAAAGGATTATGCATGCAAACCCAATTCACCAACCCGTTCACTAATACCTTCATATATAAATAAATATTTTTCTTTCATTTTACCATTTTCTTCCTCTTTCATTTGTTCCTCTTTTCTTTTTTGTCCATTTCGCGAAATCCTGTTCTATGATTAAATTCTCCCTTAGTATACTAATGACACAACTATTTCCTACTGTCTTAGTAGCAAGTCCGGTAACCGCTCTCGAAATAGACCTCCAATCAGTGGTTAACTGGCTTAAGCAACGGCTTTAACGCCTCCAAAACAAAACTGCTTTCATTTAATTGCCACTTTGTGCCTTCAGTCAGCATGGCTGATGCTAACATCCACGAGCCTTTTTTGTGCCTTCTTGCGCTCACGTTTTCCACTGACATGAAGTGATTATAGTGAATCAATTGCTAGGTCTACTGCTAGGAAAGTTGGTTCACTGTATCGTGCCATAAACTTTTTTCGCTAGAATCTACCTTGCACATTTATAAATCTATCATTTGTCTGGGCATTTAACATTGATGTCATATCTGGTCTGGTGCCCCTATTATATATCTCTAGATTCTTGAAAAAATTCAAAGAAGGGTCGGTAATGTAGGTGACATTTCGACTTCAGCCACTTTCTCACCGACGTGATGTAGCTTCCTTCTGTCTTTTCTACTAATATTTTCATGGTAATTGTTCAGATGAGATTTCCTCCTTGGTACCTCGACTGCAGGAATTTAAGCGTGCTACTAGATTGGTAACTAGGTCTCACCGTTTTACTGTTGAATTACCAAGATCTAACCGTATGTTTTATTCTGATAGTTTCTTTTCTTGCACGACTCGTTTATGAAAATCCCTTTCGATTTCTTGTTTTAAAGTCACCTACAATCTTCAAAAATTTAAATGCAACGCCATCTTCTCTCTTCTTGTTCTTTTATTATACTTTCTCTTCACTTGTCCGTTTATTAAAGTTTTCCCATTCTCTTTCAATTCCAGTAACCCCTTGCGTCCTAGTGGTATCATCGACTTGCTTGGGATGAAATAATTTTAAAAAAGTATGTATGTGTGTCAGTGTGCGTATGATGCAAGTATATCCGAACGCATGAAAGTAAATGCTTTGATGCGCTGCTGAAACTCGATGCTAGCCTTACTCCCAAGTGATCATCAATCCTGCAATTCTATATATACAGGCAACTTTCAAGAACTTTGTTTCTCTTTTTTTCTTTCTCTCGTTCATTCATTCAGGAATATTTTTCGTTTTTCTTACATTTATATTTATTCATCAATTGCTTTCTTTCTTTCTTTCTTTCTTTCTTTGTCGGCTTTCATCTTGTGTTTTATATTTTATAAAAGTTTCTTTCATTTTCTTCTTTCTTTTGTTATTTTTTCTTTTCATATATCTTCCACAACCCCCTCTCTTTGCTTTCTTGAATATTCCTTTTTTAAATAATTCGTTTTATTTTTCATTTCCTTTTTATCTCTCCCTTTCTTCCTCCCACACCTTTTACAATTTTTTTTCTTTCTTTTCATTTTCTATTGTCCTTCCGACTTTTTTCTGTTAATAATTTTAACTTTTCACTAATTTCCTTACTTCTATGACTTCTTTTTTTGTCTTCCGCTTAATTTTTTTCTTCAGCAATCTTTTTTTTTTTTAATTTTTTCTCTCGTTTTTCCTAAAGACAGGTGTCACAAAGAAACAGTAAAAAAAAAGAAGTTTTTTTTTTCTCGTTTTCAAAAAACAAAGCATCTGTAAGACAGATGTAACGAATTGGCAAATGTACATTTGAGTGATCAAGCATGCGCACATATTCCCACACTGGTAGATGCGTCTCATATTTTTTTCTTTTCATCATCACCATCATTTTCTCCTTCATACCGAAGCTGCCAAACTTGAGAAAAGTTATTTTCCTTCTTTCTTCCCATTTGTGTTATTAGTTCGTAAAAGAATGCAACAAGAACATTAACTTTCTGCGCGGTTTCATATCTACGTATATCGGAAAGGAAAGAAAAAGTACGTTGCTAAGAATTCAAATCAAGAACAACTAAAAGAAAAGACTTCATAAGTTGCAAATAAACAAAAGCTGTCTATCCAATTTTTTCCAGTCTGCAAATTGTTTTCTTTTTTATATTTGAAAGTTCCATCGTGGCATCTATTTCTTTTGACATAATTCTATTTAATATGAAGACAAGATGATAATTCTTCAAAACATTACTAGTAAGGCTATCCTATCTCGAAAACTCTATTCGTTTGCTAAATATTTCATCACGATGTGTTTAATGTATATAAATTAATATATATATATATAATAATAATAATATATATATATATATATATATATATATATATATATATATATATATATATATATATATATATATATATATATACAATGATTTAATTAGATGTGACACAAGGATATCGATTAAAATATACATTACATACAGACGAGTATCCTCATTTTGTTATAATCAAAACGTTTCAAACTTATTTAGGTATGTTGTATTCGGTATACGTCTACGAATTTTGAACTGAACCGTTTATGCAAGACATGGTAACAGATTGTTCTCATTACACTATCCAGGGATATCTTGTGTCTGGTAATTCGACATTGTGGCGCCGCTTTAGATAAATACTAATAAGATAGACTCCTGAAGAAAGTAGGAGTGTACAACAATCGAAACATTGTGACTTGCCCGTATAGATTCATGAATAATTAAGATCGCCCAGGTAGACGCTATCTGTTCACATATAAATATATATTCACGCACACACACGCAATACATACATAAAATGCAGATATAAACGCATATAGTTGTATATAACCGTTTTTTTACATGACGTCACGTTGGAGTGATGCGAAGCCCAGCGCTCAAATAAAAGTTACAGGATGTCGCCAATGCCATCTTATCTAACACACTAACAACACACAGTTCTTGATAATGACTGAAAAGTACTTGAACAAAAACAGAATTAAACATGAACTTCGGACAATCTATCTACAATATTGCTCCCAAAGTACATCTTATTTGAAAATTCAAAAATACAATAAAAATGAAACAGGCAGACTTTGCCGGTTGAATTTAATTTAATATATATATAATTTCGCAAAAGTATTGGATACATATAAATATTTTTAAAAAATTAAAAATTTCTATTATTGCTACTAACTTCAAGCACTATCGGAATATATTAAATATTATTTATCAAGAAAAAAAATTAAAACTAAGTTTGTTTACACATAAATTTATCGTCAAATACAACAGAAAGTAAGACTCAAAAGTTTAGAAAACATATCAATATCAATAAACAGGGTTCCATGTTTAATTGCATATTTTCTTATTCCAGACATTTGAAATAATTTGAAGTGGGCTTCTTGCCTGAAATTGACACCAATTTTATTCCATTTCTTAAGGAAAATTGTCTGAAGATCACACAAGTCTTAGGCTTTCTTGTGATAAACTAGATTCTTAAGCTTCTTCTAAAATATTTGCTACAGAACTTAGGATAGTCCATTCTAAAATTCATATTATTTTCGTCCTAAATTTCTCTTTCGTTTTCACCTCCCTATGGAGGAAACCACTAACCTGTAAAAAATTCCAACTTCCCGGTAGTTTGGGAAATTCCACAGTTGGAAGCATGTTCTTCTCCAGAGTATATAGCCATTTACTAAGCGTAACTTAGATGTGGCACAAGGCCAAAATTCGGGTGCACCTAGTAAGGATTGAATTCACTATTCAGTCATAATTAATCTAGCAAGAATACTTGCTAACCATTACACCACGTCTTCTCCGGAATATATATCACTATCCAATGTTCCTCCGAAGATATGTAGTGCGCCCATACCACAAGAAGCAATCCCACCAAACATAATTTCACCAATATGTTTAATATGGTGGTATTTGGGGGACTTATGAAATGTACTTCTTTATTCAGATGTATCTTGAATGTTTTCACCAAAATGTCAGTTTTTAGTTTAATTAGGCCATAAGGCTTTTTACAAGAACAAAGGAAAGTTTTGAGATGATGATGAGAAAAATGTAGAATAGTCTTCATCAGTTTGGACTCCAGAAGAGGTGCCTTAATCAGAATTCGAGAAAGTGGTGCTTCTTGCTGGAGTGACTAATTCTATACCTCCTCACTTCTATGCCAACTGTCAGTGGATTTATCTGAAATCCCCCCCTCTAATTATGAAAGGCCAGGGTATTATTTCCGGAAGCGGATTTAGTTGCCTATTCGTTTACCTTACGAGGACGTCCTTTTTCGAAGATCAGTTGCCAGAAGATAGTCCTTCCCTTTTTGAACGATTGTTCTAATCATATCCTATGGAAATCTTGGGCTTTTTTTTCTTTTCTTTTCTTTTCTTTTTTTTTTTCACAGTAAGGTCCACCCTGTACAAGACCCGTAGGCCACTCAAGGAAGAGGGTTACTTAAGAGGCAGGTTATATGGATAAGAGAAGAAGATAACGGTTAACACTAGACTTGAACAATTTAAGATTGTAGTGATCGGGGAAATATCCTCTTGGGAGTCTGTTCCACAGCGCATTGGTTCGCGGAAAGAAGCTGATTGAGTTGATGGAATACGGAGCGAATGTGGATATTTTTCTACTATGTAAGTGGGATGGCGGGTCCTAGCTGTGATGATAAGACCTGGCGGAACCAAGGAATGTAGTTCGTCCGAGCACTTTCCATAGAAGTACCAATAGAGCAGTGAGAAGCTCGCCTCATCAGGCCTCTGTGTGTGTGCGTGTGTGTGTGTGTGTGTGTGTGTGTGTGTGTGTGAGTGTGAGAGAGAGAGAGAGAGAGAGAGAGGTTGGAATGTGGAAAATAATTCTGCTCCAACAAGGACTTGGAAACAGCTTAGGACTCTGACGAGACTGGAAGTTAGGATCGGGCAGCTCCCGCTCAAATATGGCAACAGTACTCCATTTACGCGTAAATACCATTGAGGAAGGTAACCCATCTCATTTCTCCATATATGGGTTAAATAGTAGTGTTTATAACTGGAAATAGTTACGTTAATGGGTAATTTATATGGATAAGAGGGGAGGAAGACGGTTGACTTGATCAGGTTAAAATTGTAGGGATTGGGAAGTCTGTTTCACAGATCAGTGGTTCATGGGGAAAAGCTGTTTGAGTGGAACTTATTTCTCATAGATGGAATACAGAGGGAATGTTGGTGTTTTGCTACTATGTAAGTGGCATGGCAGGTCCTAGCCATGAAGGTTAGACCTAGAGGAACCAAAGAATGTAGTTTATCTGAGAACTTTTCATGGTAGTAGAGACAGAGCAGTGAAAAACTTGCTACATCCCACCTGTGAAAGAGAGGTTGGAAGGTGGAGATTAATTCTTTTCAAACAAGGACTCAAAGTCGCTTTTGAACTCTATCAAGACTGGAAAGTGAGGTTTGGGCAGCTCCTGCACAAACATGGCAACAGTACTCCATTTGGGGCTTGATCTTGCTCTTATAAAAGTAGAGGATAGCATGAAGAGTCAGGTACTCATTGGAACGGTATAAGGAGCCGATCATTATACCAGCATCTTTAGTGATAGATCATACATGAGAGTCCCACTTGAAATCGGGTGTGAGTTTAAGGCCCAATATTCTCTCAAGGTAGAGAGACTCCTTGAGGGGACACCCGTTCATCGTGAGTGGCGGTAGTTTGGGGTCTGGTCTGCGATGATGGAACGTACCTAGTTTGGTTTTCGAGTCATTGAATGTAACCAGCCAGTTTTCCCCCACTGGGAAGTTAGTTTTAAACTGGAAAAAAAGTCAGCTTGTCGGCGATCTTTCGCTATCTTATTCCATAATTATCTTGGTCAATTATCACCTCAGTTAGTTCTTGATAGAGCTTATTTATCTTCGCCATAGTGTAAACATTTGCACATGCTGGCTACATCGTCAATGGCAATTCAAAGTACTCCTAGAAATTGTAAGCTGTAGGTCAGGGTGCGTAACATGACCTGATCGGTGTGTGTAAATTTGTAAAGTTAACAACTTGAATAGAAGTCAAGTCAAAACTGCATTATTTTTTATCCGGCTTCATGTATATTTTCAGAATGTGTCCAAAACTTCTGTGTTACTTTTCTATTATATAATGTATGTACTGGCAAAACTTTAAAAAAATATTTCTCCTTATATATTGTATATCGTAATTATTCACGATATTCACTTCTATATTTAGGCTAGTAGCAATAACAGGTAATATCCGAATCATCGAATAAATGAAAGAGATACTAAATGAGCTAAACAGAAAAAAGTTTTGAGAATGTATAAAAAGAAAAAGACAAAACAAAAGTAATTTGTAACTTTCCGAACAGGATCATACAAATAGTGAATGAAGAACTGGAAAAGTTCCAGGAATACATATAATTAAGAGGGGTCACGGTATTAAAAAAATAAACGAAGTATAACGATGGAAAATACTTAACAAATATGCATATATAATGAAAAGTACCTCGCCAATATCCTTAGAACATAAAGAAATGCATAATACCAATAATGACGTACGCGAAACATGCAAATGAACAAAATCGATTGAAACCAACTCTGAATTGTAAATGGATCATGGGAAAAAGCAGTGTTAAATATAAGGCTAAGATATAAAAAGAAGTAAGCATAGAGCAATGAACTGAGACAATATTCAAGTGATTAACCGTCAAAAAGAGGAAAATGGAGGGACACCTAGTGAAAAACAAAGGCAACTAATGGATTAAAAGCTTGCTGGATTAATACCCAATGTGCAGCAAACGTAGTAAGAAATAGGGTGAAGATGGTGAGAGTCCTGCTGGCCGGGCAAATCAGAGAATAAGATGATCACTGTCGTGATGAAAATATTTTGTCAAAGCCTTTGTCATGGAGTGCATCAGCGATGATATATCGAGTAAAATACTTATGTATATAACAGATATAATACAAATACATATTCATATATAACTAGAAATTTCATTCTTTAATATTGGATACTAATCGAAGGCTCATCAAAATAGAGCAGTATGCATACCAGAAATGAAAAATATTAAGAAATACGAAAATATGGTTAGAAAAGAAAAGGGCGTTGAACTGCTATGTAATATCTAACTTCCAATATAGCAGTGAATGCTAAACAATTTTCTTACAGATAAAGAAGAGAAATGAAGTGACAGAGATGTGGTTCTATAGATAGATGCTGAGAATACCATGAACTGAATATGTGATTAACGCGAAAGTTTCAATGAAACTAAAAAGAGACTTACACTTCAAATCAGTAAAAAAGAGAGATAAAAATTCTGGGATACATTACGAGGATAGAGGGCTTGGAAAATTTAATACTGACATGGCATACTGAAGACAGGAGGGAGACAGAGAAGCAACGAGTAACCAATCTAATGAGTTTGTGTGACTGGGTGGCAGAGCGGAGATAAAGAAGGATGTTAAAGACTCGAACTCTGCTTAGAGTTTGAAGAAACATGATCACCCTCGTCCTGAAGACACAACACGTAAAAAGCAGATTCTACTTACTCTAACCACCGTCCTTTAGTTAAGCAGAAATAAATTACCGTATGTCCGATGTGCACTGTTGTATAATAAGCACTTTTATTTTAAGAAGGATTATTTGGGGAAAATGATGAGCCGTTGATTGATTGATTTGTTCGTTTAACGGCATATCAACACCTTATGGATCATTTAATGCCAAAATCTAATTGAAATATCTTGAACACAATTTTATGCCCTCAACTAAATATATTTTGAACGCAATTGTAGACATTCTGCTACAGATAAAATGTACTGTTGGTCATTTTGCTATAAAATGTATTGCTGGTCATTTATCATATAAATATCTATTGCTCGTATTTTTATACTTTCAAAGTGTTCTGTTTTTGTTTGAGGGTTCACTATTTGTCCATAGTGCTACCGCCTCGGCTCAGAGTGAACGGTTCCTGGAAGACGTAAGTATGTGTGTCTGTGTGTGTGCTATGCGTGATGCAACTTGGGGTGTGTCATGTCTTTTTTTCGATTCAAGATTTGTCAGAAGAATTCCCGCAGTAGGCTGCTTTTACTTTCCGAAGTATACTGGTTGCCAATCAAGGCTATATGACGGTGTGTCCTGCTATTTGACTCATAGCTGGAGGGAGAAGAGATAGGTTCATACACTTCCCAAGGGCATCTGTGCATAAATGAATGTAACGAACTCGACTGGAATTTGACCTCGGCTCAACGTTTTCTCATTCTGAGTTGTTATCCATACTAAGCTTACAGCATTTGGTATATTCCCAAGCGGCCACCCATTCAAGTACTGTCCTGGCTCAACATTGCTTAACTTCGGTAATCTGACGAGAGCCGGTGTTTCAATGTGATATGGGCATAAGCATGCATATATATATATATATATATATATATATATATATATATATATATATATATATATATATATATATATATATATATATATATATATATATATATATATATATATATATATATATATATATATATATATATTATATAATGTTAACATGACATATTGAAAAAAGTATCTAACCAGCTAATTAGTTTGTAGGAGTGGTTGCCAGTGCAGGGATAAATGGGAATGAGAAATAGTTAAACGTTGCCTCGAGCAAGAAGAGACAAGAATTTATACAGTGCCATGATCGTCCACTTATCTTTTTTGAAGTTTGCCTCATACGGAGAAAAATTCGGTAATTTATTAATTTTTTGACAAGGTTTTAACCGATGTTTTGCATTCAAGTTTCAATCACAAAAATCACAGAAAATATTTTTTCAGACAACGAAATTCTTCAAATAATTGAAAAAATTAAATAAAAGAGAAAAGAGAAAAAAATAAAGGTTTTTGGTTCCGAAAAATGTCCTGTATATTTAAGATTGTAATGGATTAGAAAATTTGGTGTGAAGTTTTCTAAACAAATATCGACAAGTATTAGGAAATGTTATTTTGCAACCAATTCATGTATCATGTTCTTTTCTCAGTCAACGTTAAAATCAATTCATAAAGATAGCCTACCTATCTTTCAAACAAGTTCTCGAATTTTTCTCATATCAGTTTTAAGTGTCAGTGCGAGGCTGACGGACATAGGACCACAGAGAATTGTACAACATGCGCCAGCATGCATTAGGAAACGTCGGCTTGAAAATTTGCATAAATGTTCCGTTACATCCGGGTCTGAAATCTCGCTGAAAGTTGGCAAACCACATCGTCCTTGTGTGAGGATATGTTCTTAGTGTTTAGATCACATTCCGACTATCACTTAAGATCTTGAGACAATTGCTATTAAATTGAGACAGACAAAAGAAATGGTTGTTGGTCCTCAGTGTGATGTTTTTAAGTATACTAGTTTATATTATTGATATTTGTCTGCTTCTTATTCTCACTACCCCACTTCTTTTTAGTCGGTGTGCTTAGTATTCTAATTCCCCGATTGAACTCTGACGAGAGAGAAGTACGAAAACCTGTCAGCTGATTCTATAATCTTTTTCCTTTTCATGTTGCCATTTACTATGGCTGTTATTTCTTCTGTCTATCTATCTATCTATCTATCTATCTATCTATCTATCTATCTATCTATCTATCTATCTATCTCCCTCTTTCATCTGATTCCCTTTTTAATGTTTTGTTGTGAACTACGGCAAGAGTGTATTGTGTTTGGGGGAAACATCTAAACAAATAGCTCACCCATCCGCTACGGGCGTAATAGGCAGAGAAAGGAAATGAGATGAGAGGCAGCAAAATGACACTACCTCAGAAGGCACAGCAATTAAAGGAACAAAATGCCCACGGGACCTACTTCACAAGACTTCAAGTCTAGCAGACTGATGATTTCCCGTCGCTTTTATTGAGACGCTGGCAGAAACCCGGCTCTAGACAAATTGCAGAGAGGTCCGTATCTGAACATATCAAGCTGTCCTGCTGCTAACGGAGAAAACCCGGATGTAACTGGTTTTGATAGACATGTCTGCATGCTATCTGGGGCTTCTTTTGAGCCTGAACTGACGCGCGTTCGCCACATGTCTTTTTATAGAACTGATTAAATTGTGTACCTTTAATCTTCTTCTATGTGCCGTTTACCTTCAGGACGGGGATAATTATGGCCCTCTGCAACATCTTATCCTTTGTAGCTTTTAGTAAGGTTTGTATTTTTAACATCGACCCTAGTCCCTGTGGTGCCATCCATTTCCACAAGCTCGTTCGGTAGGTTGCCCACTGCTTTCCTCTGCTTTCCACTGTCTCGCTCTCATTCGATATATCAAGTGAGTGTTAAATTCTCCAAGCTTTCTTTCTCATTATGTGTCCGAGAAATTTCAACTGTCTCGTTCTGATTCTAAGTATAAGTGTCATTTTTATTTCAATTTTCGTTAAAACTTCCCCGTTCTGCTTCGTTCGTGGTATTTTCAGCATCCTTCTGTAGAAACACATCTCTATTGCCTCAAGTATCTTCTTAATCGGAATAATGAGAAGATTTTTCAGAAGATAATGAGAAGATTATTCAGGAGATTTTGAAATAGAATATTCTTGCACTCGGCAAATATATTATTTGAGATTATTTTTATGGGAAATTAATAACATTCTGAATGTTCCTTTGTTACAAAATTTGAGAAGTTTGCAAATTATGCATAAAGTTTGAATGAGATATTTCCAGGTATTTAAAAAAAATCAAGTGAACAGGTTCTATCAGTTTGGCTGTCTATCTTTCACGACTACATATATATTTTGATAAAACTAATATTTTACTTTTTTTTAAAAAGTTTCTTTTTCTTTTAGAGAGCAGGTGTCTTGAAAAATGTTACCACCTACTTTTGTCCATCCATATGTAGGATCTGAACTTGGAGTCTGTATCTATGAACTTAGATAAGAGAGAACGAAAATGAAACCAAATCACAAACAACTGAGATGTTGTCCTTAAGTTGGCATAACTGGATAAATTGGGTTTATGTTTGTTTTCCAACTTGCAATCACCAAGAGGTCGAAACTTTGCTGGAAATCTTAGAAACCATGGTTGTCTAAGAAACTAGGGGCATTGCTGGAGTAATTCTATATTGCTGCTTGTTCTTGATGATAGATAAGCACTTTATCAAAGAAATCATAAAGTCTCTTCTTTCTAGAATTCGCGGCGACTCAGAGATTCATGAATTCACAGCGCGTGCATTCATTGGTATATAAACAAATGATTAAGAACACATATTCCAGTTCATTTCCGCGTCTTATGTAAGTATACGTAGATTAATATGCAAACAGTTAATAACACTCACGTACAAGTATATTTATTTTTGTAAAACAAGTACTTTTATATATTGAGATGATTGTGTAGCGAATCGGTTATCAGTACATAAAACGGAATCAGCGTACCCAGTTCAAATTCCGGCTTAACGCTCACTTTCACAAACATTGCCTCAACTATGAATTAAATAGTAGGTTAGACTGGGTTCTATAGCCTTGGGTGGAAACTTGTCTAAAAGAAAGAAAACTTCGAATTCAGAACCGTGGAGAAGACAACAGGAAACCATTCTACTTTCTTTCCCCCAAAGGCATGGTAATTTCCAAGATAATAAAGAAAAAAGGAATCTGCGGAGAGTCATGTCAATCTAAGTTCTGAATGGACATGGTATTTCATAAAGGCATATATATGAATATCTGCATATATCTATCTTTGTGCATTTAGGTATATGTGTGGATGTATGCAATAATGTGAGTTTGTATATATATATATATATATGATTGAGCGAATAATGATACAGGTGTATGTACAGTAATCATCATGGTAATGGTAATATTATCCGTTTCTTTATAAGGAAACTTTCGGCATTCATTGACCGAACATTTAGACTTTCTGTCGGTTGAAATTTGTAAAATCTTTATCTTAAAACAATTTTTCAGGAAAATAGGTTTCTCAAATCCAGTAACTGTTATCGCTCTTTCCAGTATTAATGGGGGCTTCCTTCCTTGTCTTTTGTATGGGATAGTGAGGAACATCACTATCTTCATTATGTTATTATTCTCTCTTCGCGTTACGTGTGTTATCCATTTTAGTCGTTGCTGCCATTAAAAGTTCTCATGTGATATGATTTCTGGTGCAGTTCTGGAACGCAAGTCCACGACTTTCGAAGAAGGACGGTCCTCACTTAGACTTACATACTTCACTCGCTCGAAGCCATTTTTAACCACCGATATGAGAAAGCGGTTGTAGACAGCTAATATTTTAGATATTTCTGAACGTGTTTCGTGCCATGAATAGCATCCATATATAGTCTCGATCTGATGAGGATATTTAAGAACACGTCTTGTTTTTAGGTTAATGTTTGGGTTTTGTAACAGCTTGTGGTATTGGGTGAAACTATCCCTAGCACAACCTACTCTATGTTCGATCTCCTTGTCTCCTGTATTCAGAAGTATTTGAATAGAAAAACATTTTGCTTTTAATCATTTCATTTGAAGATTTAAAAACAGAAACATTACACAAGAAGAAACACAATTGTTGCATTGAATAAAACAAGGCAAACGCTTTATTAAATTTTTCGGTACAGGATGATAAATTGCTGGAAAATGCTTTTTTCATATTTTGGGTTGTCAGATAAATTCGTTCGTTTTTTTTTCATTTATTTTAATGTTATTATTCATCAACAGTTTTAATAAAATTGTTAATAGTGATAAACGATTAACAAAAGTTGTAGAGAAAGAATACAACTACAAAAATGTCATAAAACACGACTCTTCATAAAAATGCTTAAGTACCTGTTCATCAGAACACTGATCCCATGCGCAAGCACGCGTGTGTGTGCGCGCGCGCGTGTGTGTGTATGCATGTTTAACCCTGGTGCACCTGGTAAAATTTCGTGCTTGTATCAGTAAAAGCTTGATATAACGAATAAAGTAAGTAATAGCTGTCTGCTTATCTCCGAGTATGCCATTCTACTTGGGCGGCTAGCTAATCCCTGTTGCAGACACATTGCTCAGGCACATTTGTGTTTGTTCAACACCCACAAAGCACACCTGCTGTTTATACTGCAACTATACTGAGCGAACATTAGTTACAGTTTCTGGGAGAAAGCTCATTTTCTGATGGATTCAATACTCTGAACAAGGCGGTCACGATGACTTCCGACCTTGTACTAGCTCAGCCACCGACGACACCCAAATAGTTTCATCTACGCAATTTAATTCACAAGGTTTGGGTAAACGTGTAGTATGGTTTTCAAGCAGTTTCCAAAGGTGCCGCAAGCTGGGATCGCCTCTATATGTCGATAACATCAAGAAGTTAAGCATGGTCATATTCGAAACCGGAAGCCGACGTTCTAGCCAATCGTCCATTATACATTTAACGAATACAAAGACGTCACACATACAGCGATAGTTA